GCTACGGCCACGAAACGAAGCCGGGTCAGACCGCGAGGTCACCCGTGGAACCCCGGGTCCCTCCCGCAGGGCCGTCTCCCGAGCCCCGAGCGCTGCCCTCGGGGCTACATTCCGTGCCCGTCGCGCACAGACGCGCCACATAGTGCCACCAACCCCCCACACCCTAAAACCAACGCCGTCTCCGGAGTGACCTCTCCAAGAGCAGCGCGGCGCTGCCGTCAGCCACGCCGTGCAGCCGCACGTTGTCGTAAAACGCGCCCCGAGGACTCACTCCACCCCATCCCCGGGCCCGGAACGTGCGGCTCGCGCGCTCCTCCTCTCCCGAGTGGAGCTAGGGGTCCCGGGTCGGCGGGGCCGTTCCGGCGGAGCCCACGCAGGCGCAAGCGCGGGAGGCACAGGAGAGGCGGAAAGGGGTGGGGTCCTAGGAGCGGCGTCCCGAAGGGTGAGACGGGGCCCGAGCGAGGTGAAGGGCACGACCGAAAGGGAGGGGCCTAAGCCGGCGCCCAGACGGAGTGGCCCAAGGGTCTGGGCTAAGGGGAGTGGCTTCGTTTTAAGGAGAAGCTGGGAGGTGCGCCGGGGACTGGGATCTGGTCTCGGGGCGCGCCCCTGGAGAAAGGAGGAAGGAGCCGTCCGCCCGGCAATCTAGAGTTTCAGGGATGTGCCCTCCCCCGCCCCCGTGGATCCGCGAGTGACCGGGCTTGGAGCCCCGCCCCGCGCGGGCTGTACTAGGTGACAAAGATTTCATTTCAGGTTTGTAGCCCAACCGGCAGGTGGAGCGAACAGGTGTTCCAGCCAAATAGTGCGAAGGGCCGCCAAGAGGAAGAACGCGGGCCACATTCCTGCGTTCTGTAGCAGGATTAAGCGTATTGGGGTTTACGAAGCGGGTCTGTGTTACGCCCTAATTTACCACAGAATCCTTTTACACAACCAAAGGCTTCGTTATGTTTCCGGTGTTTCCTGCCAAAACACTGAGGGTGGGAAGTGTGTCTGGATTGTTCTTGCATGTATCCCCAGAGTTGAGCATCCTAATTTGATGCATAGCGGGGGCTAAATGTATATCTAACGAACAAAAAGTTATCCGCACAATGTGAGGTACGCTTCTGTTGCAGTTATCGTCTTATAGTTAGAAAACACCTCATGGTTTCTGAGTTGAAGGTGATTAGATTAGGAGGAAGCAAGTGCAGTATTTAGGGCACCGAGTCCCTAGTGTATAGATGGTCAGAGAACACCAAGAACACAAGAAGAAATGGGAGGGAAACAACTAAAAACAAGATGCTAGCCAGGAGTGGTGGTGTGTGCCTGAAATTCCAGTTACTCAGGAGGTGGAGGCAGGAGGATCGCTTGAGCCTAGGACTTCCAGCCAGCCTGGACAACATAGTGAGACACCCCCCCCACCCCCCCCAAAACAAAAAGATTAGAAAACCATATTCAACCTTGCTCATAATTAATTTGGAAAATTATAACAGCTTGGAGATATTTCATGACTTCTTAAGTTGGAACTATAATAAATTAAGTATGAAAATAGCCGGGCTCGGTGGCTCAGCCTGTAATCCCGTGCCTTTGGGAGGCTGAGGTGAGTGGATTGCCTGAGCCTGCGGGCTCGAGACCCGCCTGGCCAACTTGGCGAGACCTCATCTCTACAATAAATCAAAAATGAGCCGGGTGTGGTAGCGTGCGCCTGTAGTTCCAGCTACTTGGAAGGCTGAGGCGGAAGGATTGCAGGAGCCCAGCATGTCGAGGCTGCGGTGGCCAGGAGCGGCCAGTGCACTCCAGTCTGGGCAACAGAGTGAGACTCCAACTCAAAAAAAAAAAAAAAAGTATGAAATTACCAGATTAAATGAAAAGGCATATTTGAAAGGATATTAAGAGAAGGGTAATTAATTGTTATAATTATGTCAAATGTATGAATTAACAGTTGGAAGAAGCAGCCAGGTGTGGTGGTTCATGACTGTAATCACAGCACTTTGGGAGGCAGAGGTGAGAGGATTGCCTCAGCCCACGGGTTGGAGACCAACCTGGGCAACATGGTGAGACCTTGTCTTTACAATTAAAATTTTTAAAAATTAGCCAGGTGTGGTGGTGCACGCCGGTGGTTCCAGTTACTTGGAAGGCTAAGGTGGAAAGATTGCCTGAACCCAGCAGGTATAGGCTGGGGTAGTCCTGATTGTGCCACTGCACTCCAGCCTGGGTGACAGAGGGAGACTCTAACTCTAAAAATCAAAAAATAAAACAATTGGAAGAAGCAAGAGAAGAATAATTGTGTTTAGTGAAAGAACTTAACTTTGAGTTAATACAAAATGGTTTAACTGCTGGATGCAGTGGCTCATGCCTGTAATCCCAGCACTTTGGGAGGTCGAGGCCAGATTGCCTGAGTCCATGGGTTCCAGACCAGCCTGGGCAATATGGTGAGACCTATCTCTACGATAAATCAAAAAATTAGCTGGGCATGGTGGCACATGCCTATAGTTCGAGCTACTTGAAGGGCTGAGGTGGAAGGATCACGAGAGCCCAGCAGGCAGAGGCTGTGATGGCTGTGAGCATGCCACTGCACTCCAGCCTGGGTGACAGAGTGAGACTCTGACTCAAAAAAAAAAAAATGGTTTAACTGTTTTGAATTGCCCACTTCCACTACATTTAACTTTAATAACGATCTAAATTAGCTTTCAGTATAAAGTATGAGGTGATTTGCATGATCTGCTGTGCACTTAGGTATGCTTGCTTGTACCTTGTTTAGCATTTTTCAAAGAATAGTGAGTTTTTATTTTGAATATGCTTTTTACTTGGGTGTGAGTGTAGCTAAATTAGAGGAAGACACAGCTCAAACATTCCTAGGATAGCAAATTTACCCCAGAAGTAGGCTAGGAATTCTAAAGTTTGTCAAATCAGTAATGATAGAACAAGCCTGAATTCCCCCTCAATAAATTGGATAAAGGAAGTTATGGAAAAGGAAGACTCAAAGGTTTGAAGAAGAGAGACTTACAGAATGGTGATATCACAGATATAAAGTGGGTAGATGGAAAGAGAAATTAGTTGGTAATGAAAGATTGAGTTGTTTTGTACATATTTAAATTTAACATAATGGTGGGATAGCCAGTTAATAGTTGAAAATATGTCATTGGAAGTTAAGTGAAAACACTCAGGGCTAAAGATTTATTTATTTATTTGTTTTTGAGTTGGAGTCTCGCTGTTGCCCAGGCTGGAGTGCAGTGGCACGCTCACAGCCACCGCAGCCTCAACCTGCAGGGCTCAGGCTGTCCTTCTGCCTCAGGCTTCCAAGTAGCTGGAACTACAGGCATGCACCAACATGCCCAGCTAATTTTTTTTGATTTATTGTAGAGACGAGGTCTCGCCATGTTGCCCAGGTTGGTCTCCAACCCGTGAACTCAGGCAATCCTCTTGCCTCCATCTAAATAATTTCTGAAATAATCTAGTTAATATTTGCAGCAGAAACTTTTTGTCATAGAGTTTACACTCTCGGGTTCTCATTTGTTTGCAACTTTTAATTTCAAAAGAAGTGCTAAGTAAATAAATTGTCCTTGATAATAATAGCCTATTTTGTGCTTACATTAGAAATACCAGTAATAAAATATCCGTAGCAATAAAGTAATCCTTATCTCCAATCTCCACGTAATGAGTAAACATGTAACCAGGGAGATCACTTGAGGAAATTTACTTTCACTAAACGTAAATGGCTTTATTGATTAAGCTCAGTCAATAAACACAAGTGAAAATGATTAATGGTATTTAGTTTGCAAGCTCCGTTTTATTCTTCATTTGTGTGTTTTTTTAAAATTAGTTCACAAATCTGGTACATATAGGCAGTTAAAACTGGTTATCACTTTGATGATCAGAAGCCTCTGGTATAACACAGTCTTCATGAAAACATATTGTAAAACAGGGAGAATGCACAGCAGCAATCTCTTTGAAAGCAATGTCTGCAAACATCCATGTTTCTAAGAAAATATAACTTTACATATATATGTATTTTAAGCAAGCTATACCTCTTACATAAAATCAGACAATAGAAGGAGTGTGCAATCATAATGCTTGTTTTATGGGAAAAACAATGAAAATAGTTTTAATTATGACCTAAATGCTTGGAAGTAAGTAAGAGTCCTCTTGGATTGGATGTAGAACATAAGGATATTTTCCCTAATTTACAACTATCCTGGTCAAAAAGAGCTGCAAAGTTTGCCAGTAAGTGTAATTGCCTTTACCATGTGAGTTTAACCCAAATTCTTTAGGTACAAATTGTAAATTGTTCCATTCCCAGCTGATTTAAGGAACTGAGCAAGAAGAGAACAGCCTTCAGTTTTTTGTTTTTTTTTGAGTTGGAGTCTCACTCTGTCACCCAGGCTGATTTTTTGATTTATTGTAGAGATGAGGTCTCACCAAGTTGCCCAGGCAGGTCTCGCACCCATGGGCTCAGGTAATCCACTCACCTCGGCCTCCCAAAGCGCGGGATTCCAGGCTGAGCCACCGAGCCTGGCCAGCCTTCAGTTTTTAAATGAAGATTTTTTAAGGAGTTGAGTTCTCAACTAAACTAGTTTTTATTAGGTTTAAGCTAATATGGTTTAGAGATGACTTTATGAACTCTAAGCATTCTAGTTCCTTAATTTTCTCAAGGAAAGAGAACTTCAGCAGTAGCAGGACAGACTATCCCACACCAGAGTCACCAGGGGACAATACAGAAGGCCTCCTAGAGTGCAGCCAAACAAGAAACTGAATCAAAACAGAGTCAATCACTGCACACTCCTGCTCAGAAGGCTCCTCTCACCTTAGAAACTGGAAGGAGCTTCGCCAGCACATTTTATACAAGAGCTAAAGAGTGACATCTAGCAGGGATGCTTAGTCATTTTCTGTGATGCATGACATTCATGGGCTAAAGGGGGAAAATAATCTCATGTTCTCCCCCTGAAATACAACTTCATCTTTTTATGGAGGCACTGAGGTCATACAGCTTCTTTTCCAAAAGAGATCGAGATAAAAGACAAATAAGGTAGAGGACTCTGAAAATTTTCTGATTTAATTTTCTCTGAAAAGTTAAATTCCACATAATGGCAAAACTGTTTGCTGAAAGAAAACTGACAAGAAGAACTGATTTAAGAGACATTCAAGATAAATTGTACTGGAAATACAGTAACGAATTTTGGCCTGTTAGCCCTCATGCTGACTTATAGCAAAACACTAAAATTCATGCAACAGAGAAACTGGTGACATGAGGACTTTTTCTCCAGATTTCCTGGAAAAAAACTGTGAGAATATACTGTTTTCTTATGTTTGCTTTCATAATGAATTATTCTTGCTTTTGGCTGACTTTTCCCAACTTTCCCAGTCATTCTAATGAAAAATCACTCTTCAATGGGAGAAGACCAGGTAAACTTACACAAAAAGCGTCAAGTGTCTTTGAGCTCCTTCTGTCTGCTAGAGGAGCAATCAACTGGATTACATAAAACTACCTCCACAACTAAAATAGCAGGTAGAATTGGAACAGGAATTAGTTGCCATTAGTATACTTGTAATAAAATAAAGCTTGTTCTGAAACCACAGGGGTGGTAAGAAGAGACTGTATAAAAGCTACTGGGTTCTCTAGAAAATGGATACAGTATACAGAATGTGAGAATATACAGAACCCACACTCAGTTATAAAAATAGACATGGTTCTCAGACAAAAAGCAAATGAGTACAAAAGAATTCTCCAAACATGAACTATTTTTAAAAGACACTATATAAAACAATAAGATGTTATCTCCAAGCGCCAAAGAGTAGTCTATTGAAATGGCTGAAAAGGGGAAAAAGGGGAGATGGATTGGAGACAGACAGGTCAAGAACCCAGAGGACCTGTCCTAATCTTATGTTTGGCAGTGTACATTGGAGGTAACAGGCAAACCGCTTTTGGGAATATATATATAAATAATAATGGCTGGTTGGTTGATGGTGCTTGGTGGATGAATGAGAAAACCCAGGTTATTAAGTAATCTCTGGAAGTTGAACGCTTAGCCTCTACACTTGACATTGTTGCACATGAGAAATGATTCTAGGGTGTTTTTTGTTTTCCACTCAGAATCATCTCTGCCATGCACCACTCATGCTTCATGCCCCATGGTTTCTACTGTGCCCATAAGGATCAGCCTAGACTAAATATATAAATAGAAAATAACTCTGGCCTCAAAATGAGGAGGGGCAGACCAGTAATTCATGCTCAGTATTTATAAATCATAAAGAAATACTGAAATTAGTGGTCTGTCTCCTTTTAAATGCAAAGGAGATGCCATGAGTTAAAGGAAGTCATGACACAAAGTCAAGAAGATATGGGTAGCAGCACCTTTCCATACCCGCCTGGATTTTTAAGGAGCCTTTTACTCCTCATTCCTTTCAAAACAAAGTTCATCAGTTTGAGGAAAAAGAAATGGCTCTAAAGTTAAAGAGTCCCCAGAGGAAACTAGCAGTACAAGAAATAGGCCCTATGTGGGCTCAAGGACAAGCTCCAGAACCAGTTAAGACAGAAGAAGCAGCCCAAGGTCTGTCTTAGTTTTTAGCACAAGATAGCACGATACGGGCAGCCCTTTTTCCATCCAATCAACAATTCAGCACCATCCATGGCCAGTTCAAAAGATTACTGAAGAATGGGATTTTCATCTTTGGTACCACTTCATGAGTTATTCTTGGTTTGCAAAGCTGCAATGAAACAGAAAAGCTGGTACCTTTGCCTTGTCTTGTGAGTACAAATGCTGGGACTCTGATTTCTGCAACCATTGAGGCCAATTAAAATAATACTGTAACACACAGGAGTGATGCATCCAATTCCTAGTTTTCCAGATAATAGCAGCCATGCCCCCATAGGAGCGGGATCATTCATCCCCATTGGTTAAGGCCTTCGGTTTGTTGTCCTCAGAGCAGAATGAAACACTGCGTTCCCACGGACAAGGAACTCCAGATGAACCCATGGTCTACGTTTGGACAGAGATTTTAAGTACCAGATATGCCAGGCACAGAAACAGGACTGGCCTGTGGCCATCACACTTGGAGAAGCTTCTGTTTTGGCAGCACAAACTAGAAACTTCTTAGTGTATTCTGGTTTTGTCCCCTTTCCTGAGTGAAGCAGCCAGGGAATGACCAGGTTCCACAAGCCCCCAATCTAATACTCGGTATTAATTCTCTCCATGGTCTTCTTCCACCCAGGCTACAATTTTCCCTTCCCATCCAGGAATTGCATCATCATCGTGGAAAACCTAGGGAAACAAGAAAAAGCCACAATGAAAACATAGATAGGGAGTCTCACTCACCAAACAACTCCTGCTGATAAAAATAAGTCCTCAAACATAAAGAACAAGAATGTGTAGAAAAAAGCCTTGAGTTAGTCTAGGTTCCTTTGGTTTTGTCCCTAAAGTTGCAACTAGAATTTTATGCATATTTATTTTAGTTCCACATCTATGAAATGGTTAAAAAAAAAATCTCTAACACTGCTTTGCTCATAAATATTTCTAAGAATAAGTTACTAATCACAGAATATTTGGGGCATCTTAGGAGACAGTGGAAGTATAAGTATTCTTAAAATTTATTTATTACTTTTGAGTCCGATTCTCACTTTGCCACCTAGGCTGGAGTGCACTGGCACAATCATAGCTTACCACAGCTTGGACCTCCTGGGCTCAGGCGATCTTTCCACCTCGACCTACAGATCAACTGGGACTATAAATGCATGCCACCAGTCTGGATAATTTTTTATTTTTTTGTAGTGACAAGGTCTCACTATATTGCCCACGTTAGTCTCGAACTCCTGGGCTCAAGCAGTCCTCCTGCCTCAGCCTCCCAAAGTGGATTACAAGTGTGAACAACTGTGCCCAGCCAGTAGTATAAGTATTTTTTTAAAGAAGAGAAACACCTCCCCAGCTGTTGCCAAGGTGCTTGGTCCTTCCAAGGAAGCTAAGGCCTTATTGGGGTGAGGCCCTCACTTCATCCAGCGGCTAGCACCCTGTGCCTGGCAGCTCCAGTCCCATACTTGCTGTGTCCCAGCTCACCTCGGCCCTCATTCTGCACAACGAGGTGACCTCAAGGAAGATAAGATCAACGCCCTCAATAGAGCTGCGGGTGTGACTGTGGAACCTTTTTGGCCTGGCCTGTTTGCAAAGGCCCTGACCAAAGTCAACATCAGGAGCCTCTACTGCTCTGTGGGGGATTCGCACCCGCAGCTGGGACCCCCACCAGCCGGGGGACCCTCCCCCTTGGCCGCGCTGCCCCAGCTGAGGAGAAGAAAGTGAAAGCAAAGAAGGAAGAATCTGAGGAATCTGATGATGACAGGCTTTGGTCTGTTTGACTCAACCTTTTGTAATATGTTCAATAAACTGCTGAACTCTGAAAAAGATAAATAAAAAACAAACCTTTTTCCTTTTTTTGAGTTGGAATCTCACTCTGTCGCCCAGACTGGAGTGCAGTGGCCGCACTCCCGGCCACCGCAGCCTCGACCTGCTGGGCTCCGGCAATCCTTCTGCCTCAGCCTTCCAAGTAGCCGGAATTACAGGCATGCGCTACCACGCCCGGCTGATTTTTTTATTTATTGTAGAGATGAGGTCTCGCTGCCCAGGTGGGTCTCGAACCCGTGGGCTCAGGCAATCCACTCACCTCAGCCTCCCAAAGGCGCAGGATTACAGGCTGAGCCACCGAGCCCGGCTACCTTTTTCCTTTTTAAAATAAAAATTCTATCCAAGTTCTTGGTCAAAGTGATTAAGTACTAGAACTAAGACTCAACATCTTGGGTCAATCTGTGACCGCAGTCTAGGATAATCAGGTTTGAGGTTCTGGAAATTCCTCTCACCTGCTCTGAGGACTCAGGTACTTCTAGATACCAGTGCTAGCATAGGAGACTTAGGGGTTCAGGGAAAACCAATAATACCACCCAGGCTCCCATGGATTCTGTACCTCTTCTTTGACAGTGCCAAACTCGGGATCCAGCGCTTTGAAGTGATACCGGTGATTCCCTTCCCGATCAATAGCTGCTTTAAAATCCTTCAGTGTCACCTCCCCCAACCTGCAGTAAAAGGAGAGAGCACTCAAATAGACTGTTAATCAATAAGCTGGAAGATAAGATGTTAGTTTTAAACCCAGGCCCCTGCCAAAGGCAACAGGCAGAAATGGCCCCTTTGTTAGGTCACTGCCCCTGATAACTCAGATGACTAAACAGCAGAGGTTGGAGAGCCAGTCACCAACAGGGAATGAAAATGGCTTTACATATAAGGTGATCTGAGAATTTGAAACAGATTTATGCTTCAGCAGCAGCCAAATTACTTTTCTCTGTTTTTCTCTGTAAATAGGACATAAGGTCCCTGAAATCAAATTTGCTGAATAACCATAAATACGCCTAAGTTCTCTTGATTTTCTTCCTTGTTCTTTAGGGTGGCAGAATTAAATCAATTATCATCTTTATCCTTCTGTCTTTAGGAACCTGGCTTCCAGCCCAGACTAAATAAGCAGGCTCTCTAGGGAAGGAAAATCCTGTAACCTCACTCAATAGTTGGTTCCAGAGTTTAAATAATCTTTATTTCAAAACCATTTCCCTTAAGAGGAAGTATGTTAACTGAGTTTTTGGAAGGTTGTTAACATTTCTCAACAGGGATTAGTTGCAGACATTGAATAGCAACAAAGATCAATGAGTCGCAGCCCTGGAGTGGAGTGCCAGGCTGCAATCCATGTTATCAGCAGGAGCTATTTTGAACACCTTAAAATCTGTTTTTCCAAACTTAGAGCATATTTGCATAGTTATCAGGATTGGAAGTACTACTGTTGTACCTAATAGTAGATTATGACCTGTTCCTTATTATGCCACTGGTTAGTGGCAGGGCTGGAAGCAGAATCTGCCTCCGGCTCTTCTCCTTACACCACACTGCATCTCCAACACCTTTCAGCTGCGCATATGGGTAGTAGCTAATGGTTCTGCCCTCCTCTCCTTTTTTACAGAGAAATAATGATCCCAGAATCCTACCTCTTTGGTATGTTGACCATGAAGGGCGTAAGTGACCGGTCAGTGAAATAGAGCACTTTAGTGCAGGTGCTGCTGACAGTTGGAGAGCTCTGTGAGTGAGGCAACTCTGCAATCAGAGAGACTCTGTAGTTATTAGAACATTCAATTTGCTCCAAGTCACCCCTCATTTCCAGTTATTCAAAATGTCCCAGAAGTATGAAGCTGCCTGAGGTGACAGCACTCAACTCTCACACCCTTGCCAAATACCATGTCAAGAGGCTGTGATCCACAGGAAGTCACCGCCAGGACCACAAGGACACAAGGTACTTCAGATGTGGACACTATCACGAGGACCATCACTGCTCACTCATAGCAGGGAAATGGCAACTGATCTGACAGGTATTGTTAAAGAACAAAGGACAGAGGAAGCTGGCAAGATTTCAGCTGAGGCAGAGCAGACACACAGCAGGAGCTGTAGACTCTGCCAACATTTACATTTTGAAGTCAGTAGTGGAGAATACTCAGGTGATTCATGAAGAGAAAAATCAATAGGAACAAGAACTACGGGAGCAAAGTAGCCTTAGAAACTCAGAAGCCAAGGAGAATTTCAGTCTAAAAGGTACACCTACTTTAACTCTTAGCTACAAAGAATCTGTGTTCATTCCATGTTCTTAACACAGGCTTCTTGATCCACATCTCGTCTCTTTAAAGAGTTACTTTTGGAAAAGTATAATTAATGAATACTTGTAATTATGACTTCAAGAGGAGAAAAGACCAATCAGAAACTTTTATCAAAAGGACCGTAAAAATTAAACTTTTATTGAAATCTCTCCTGCAATTTCACCTATATAGATTTTCTTCTCAACTTATTCTAGGCATTGATCCCAATCAGATTGGCAGCCACAGGAGAACCAGAGTATAAGAGATGAATTGATACAGGGGATAAGATAAGGGAACTTACTCTTTTTGCACAGAAATCACATTTAGTCATTTTTCAGAGTTATTTCTTCAAAGAAAGCCAATTATTGTAACCTACATGCTATGATTCTCCTTTGTCCCAGCATCTAGTACAGTGGCTGGCACACAGTGGTTGTTGAATAAAATATTCACTTTTTAAAAATTTTTATTTTGTTTTTATTTTTATTTTTGAACTGAGTCTCCCTCTGTTGCCCAGGCTGGAGTGCATGGCTCAGTCATGGCCACCACAGCCTTGACCTGCTGGACTCAGGTGATCCTTCTGCCTCAGCCTTGCATAGGTGCTCACCACCACGCCCAGCTAATTTTTTTTTTTTTTTTTGAGTTGGAGTCTCACTCTGTCACCCAGGCTGGAGGGCAGTGGCACACTCCCAGCCACAGCAGCCTCGACCTGCTGGGGTCCTGTGATCCTTCCACCTCAGCCTTCCAGGCAGCTGGAACTACAGGTGCATGCTACCATGCCCAGCTAACTTTTGATTTATTGTAGAGACGAGGTCTTGCCAAGTTGCCTGGGTGGATCTCGAACGCGTGGGCTCAGGCAGTCCTCTTGCCTCGGTCTCCCAAAGTGCTGGGATTACAGGCTGAGCCACCAAGCCCAGCTAATTGTTATATTTATTGTAGCGATGAGGTTGCCAAGTTGCCCAGGCTATCTCCAACCCCTGGACTTGCAACCCTCTTGCCTTTGCCTCCCAAAGTGCTAGGATTACAGGCATGAGCCACTGCACCTGGCAAAATATTCACACTTAACATTAAGTTACAAAACTCATTCATTCATTCAACAAATGTTTATTGAGTACCTACTATGTGCTAGATTTTTGGAATATAAAAAGCTATATGTAGTCTCTGATCTCCAAGAGTTTTAGTTTAGTATGGATCAAATAATTACAATACACTAAAATCAGGTTTGTACAAACTATTATGGGAAGACTGAAGATGGGGCGGTTGATTCCATGCAGAAGAGATCAGAGAGGTCTCACAGTAGGAGAATCCTGTTTAGAAAACACCTTTAGGCTGGGTGCAGTGACTCACACCTAAAATCCCAACGCTTTGGGAGGTTGAGGTGGAAGTATCACTTGAGGCCAGGAGTTAGAGACCAGCCTGGGCAACATAATGAGACCCCATCTCTACAAAAAATAAAAAAAATTAGCTGGGCGTGGTGGTGTACACCTGTAGTCCTAGCTACTCAAGAGGCTGAGGCTGAATAATTGAACCTAGGAGTCAGAGGTTACAGCGAACTAAGATCACATCACTACACTCTAGCCTGGGCAACAGAGTGAGACCCTGTCTCTAAAACAAATAAATAAAAATTTAAGAGCATGAAATGGGATCAGGTATTTATAAAACTGTAAGTAAGGCTGGAGCATAAGGAATACACTGGGAAATTGTTAAGTGATAAAGTAGGCAGAGGTCAGATCACAGAGGATTCTCATTGACAGGCTAAGACTTTAAAATGTTAGTTTTAAGCTCTGGAGAGATACTGAAAGGGAAATATCATTATATAAAATCACTTTTTTCTTTTTGAGTTGGAGTCTCACTCTGTCACCCAGACTGGAGTGCAGTAGCACGCTCCCGGCCACTGCAGCCTCAACCTGCTGGGGTCCGGTGATCCTTCCGCCTCAGCCTTCCAAGTAGCTGGAACTACAGGCGTGCGCTACCACGCCCAGCTCATTTTTGATTTATTGTAGAGATGAGGTCTCGCCAAGTTGCCCAGACGGGTCTTGCACCTGCAGGCTCCGGCAATCCACTCACCTCGGCCTCCCAAAGCGCTGGGATTACAGGCTGAGCCACCGAGCCTGATATAATCACTTTTGAAAGATCAGTCTTGCAGCAAAGTATGGAGTATATGGGAGAAACTCTGGAAATCAGTACTCCTGTTAAGAGGCAATTAATCTGATAGATGCGGAAGGGCAAGATGTAGCCTTGGAGCAACAGAAGGGATGGATATGAGAGACATCTAGAAGGTAAAAGTCTTAGTACTAGGGATATAGTTGAACATAGGGTATAAAAGGAAAAGTAAAAACTGAATGAGATTTATAATCTGGAAAATAAATGCATGTAATACTATTACCTAAGAAAGTAAGTTATGTTATCTAATTATCCATTTAAAATGTGTATTGGGTGCCTATTATGTATAAAGTAGTAGAGATTATTTATTTATTGAAGAAATAAATTAGATATAATCCTCACCCTTAAGGAGCTCAAAGTTTAGAGCAGTGAGATAGAAAAACCATTATAATACAATAAAATATGAAAACAATGTTGCTATGGATGTAATTGTGTCCCCCACCAACATTCATATGTTGCAGGCCTAACCCCTCTTATGACCGTATTGGAAATAGGGCTTTTAAGAAGGTAATCAGGATTAAGTGAGGTCATAAGGATGGAGCCCAATAGAACTGGCACCCTAATAAAGAAGAGATATGAGAGCCCTCTCTTAGCCATTGTGAGGACACAGAGGGAAGGTGTCCTTCTGCAAGCCAGGAAGAGAGCCCTCCTCACCAGAATCTAACTGTGTAGGCACCCTGATCTCATACTTCCAGCCTCCAGAAGCAAATAAACTTCTATTGTTGAAGCCACCCAGTTCATGGTACTTTATTATGGCAACCCAAGCTGAACAATACAAATGTTATGCACACGTTTGGGGAGAATTTCAAAGAGTCATCATAATGTCAGATACCACACAGAGGCATAACAGATAAAACCAGTTTGGTATTGGGTCACCAGTAATACCAGTGAAAGAAGATTCAGATGATTCATGAAAAATAAGTGGGACTGCACAGAGTTCTCAAAAAAGAAGAGTAATCAAGAAGAACTTGTCTACCCCAACATTAAGCCATCCTATAAAGTAATTATTACATCAATGTGGCATTACTATTAAAAACATGCAGAAAGCCGGGCGCAGTGGCTCATGCCTATAATCCCAGCACTTTGGGAGGCTGAGGTGAGAGGATTGCCTGAATCCAGGGGTTTGAGACCAGCCTGAGCAACTTGGTGAGACTTCATGTCTACAGTAAATCAAAAAGTTAGCCAGGTGTTGTGGCACGTGCCTGTAGTTCCAGCTACATGGAAGGCTGAGGCAGAAGGATCACCTGAGGCCCAGCAGGTCAAGGCTGCAGTGGCTGTGAGTGTACCACTGTACTCCAGCCTGGACAACAGATACTCTGTCTCAATAAACAAACAAACAAATAAATATGTGATTTATCTCACCAGTATTTTTTAGTTCTCAGTATACTGCAACACATTTTTTACAGTTTATACCTAGGCTTTTTATGTTTGTTTGCTTTGATGCTGCCATAAATGGTTCCTTTAAATTTGTTCCACCTCCTAATATTCATGCTACTATACAGAAGTGTAGGTGAGTTTTTGGTATATTGACCTTGTGTCCTGAAATCTTGCTAAACTCATTTCTTAGATTAGCTTTGTCATAGATTCTTTGGGATTTTTTACACCGACAATCATGTCATCTACAATCAGAGGCAGTTTTGTGCCTTCTTCTCCCAACTCTATGCTTTTTCTTTCTTTTTATTGCCTCTATGTTCATTATAGATATTAGTTTTGTTATCAGGGTAAAATAAAATGTGTCGGTAAGTATTCCATATCTCTTCTATTTTCTGCAAGAATTTATATAGAATTAGTACTTTTTCTTCCTGAAGTGCAATCTGGTCCTGGAGCTTTCTTCAGTGGAGGACTTTAAACTACAAATTCAATTCATTTAATAACTATAAAATTATTTGACTTATCTATTTTCTCTTGAGAAAGCTTTGGTAGTATCTTTCAAAACATTTATCCATTTGTCAAAGTTGTTACATTTATGGGCATAAAGTTGTTTGTAATATTTCTTGTGTGTGTGTGTGTGTGTGTGTGTGTGTGTGTGTGTTTTGAATTAGGGTCTCACTCTGGAGTACAGGGGCATGATCACAGCTCACTGCAGCCTCAGTCTCCTGGGCTCAGGTGATCCTTATGCTTCAGCCTCTAAGTAATGAGTGGGACTATGGGCACGAGCCACTAGGCTTGGCCAATTTTGTTATTTTTTGGGGGGGTTCTGTAAAGGCTTTATTGGGGGGCCAGGGGCGGGGCTCAGTCTTCTTGGCACCACCTTCCAATTGGCGGACAGGTCTTTGCTCAGCTCCTCTGGCTTCCTCTTGGCACGGA